AGTTAGCGGCAGCTCTGGCTTGGCAGGCAGTAGCCGCGAAGCCTTGGGGCGGGCAGGCCTATGTACCATATGCCCAGACTATACAGAAAACAGCTCCAAGTAGGAGAAAAGGAAGACGTGGCGGGGAGGGGCTTCTCGGTCGCCACACGAAGTGTTATGCTCAGGATCCATGGCTTTAACCCGCAGGAATGAAACGCTCCTCAGTACATGTCCTTGTAGATTTCCTGCAGGAGGGGGTGCAATGAGGTCTCTGTCTCGGTCTTTTTAATCTTCTGCACCAGCTGCGCGTGCTCGGTCACCAGCTGCCGCAGGTCAGCCATCTTCTGGAGCAGCTTGGGGAAGAGGTACTGAGCGTCCGGGTGGTTGGACTGCAGGTGGAAATCCAGGGCCTGGAGGACGTTGTCCTGTATCTCCTCCACCTGCTTCACGTCCATCAGGCCAGGGCGGTCTGCAGGGAGAGGAGGAACATGCCTTAGAACGCTCCAACCCTCCGTCCAGCCACACCACTCCCCAGCTGAGTGCTACCCTGAGGACAACACACAGGTGCTTTGAGCAACTTGCCCAGCTCTCACGCCTTTGGGCACCTCCCCCCATCCCTGCTTTCGGGGGGTGGAAGCTCCCCTCCTGCCCTCCCTGTCTGCGCTCGGCATGGCCCAACTGCACAACCAGGTCAGGGAACACAGATCTTCCCAAGCTTCACTTTCAGTGTAGTTATTCTTTCCCCTATTACGCCACCAATCACTGCCCCAAGCAGCCACGGCACCCCTCGGCACGGCACTGATCCTGTTCCCCAGCAGCTATGACCACTCCCCCCACAACCCATACAGCCTTGCCCCATCCCCAGCGCCTGGCTATGGGCCCCGCTCACCTCCGCACAGGATAATGGCAGCCACGAAGAGAGAGAGGTCGCTGTCGTCCAGCTCCAGGGCGTTGAACTTGACAGCGAACTCGAACTTGGGCTCCATGATCTCGTTGAAGGGCTTGCGCAAGCTGCGCAGGAACTCGCGCGTCACGAACCCGTTCCCGTTGGCCACCAGGAGGCCGTCCTTGTTCATGATGGAGGCCAGCATGGCGAAGATGGCTTCGTGGACGCCGTACTTCAGCAGGGTCACCTGGTCGTTCAGGTAGAGGCTGAGGAAGCTGGGAATGGTCTTGGCGAACTCGGTGAGCTCCCGCACCGTCTCCACCGTGGTGCACTGGCAGCGGTAGAAGACGTGGACCCCGATCTCCTTGTAGGGGGGGATCCCATTCACAAGCTGCTTCCACACCAGCCCCTTTTCCGCCTGCCACAGGGTGTCCATGTCGTGGATCACAAACGGCTGCATGGAAGAGAAGTGAACGTGAGGATCTCTGCCGGGGGGGCGGAGCGACTGAGCTGTGACCTGTCCCTGGTGCAGAAGAGCTGTCTAAACTCACCATTCATCCCCAACCCACCCTGGCATGTGGCAGTGGCTGCAGCTCCAGGCCTCCCTGCAGAGAGTCTGCAGTACGCCCTGGAAATCCAGCAGCAAGCACTACAGAGCGAGGCCCAAGACTATCCCAGGGTTCAAAAAAGAGCTAGATAGTTTCCCGGAGGTCAGGTCCATCATGGCTATTCGCTGGGATGGGCCTCGCTTTGTCGGAAGCTGGGAATGGGCGACGGGGGATAAGTCGGAGGATTCCCTGTTCTGATCGTTCCCTCTGGGGCACCTGGCACTGGCCACTGTGGGCAGACAGGATGCTGGGCTGGAGGGACCTTTGCTCTGACCCAGCCTGGCCGTTCTCATGTTCTTAGAGCAATGAAGATTCTGTGCTACTAGCAGGTGATGGGAAGCCTAGACGCGTCAAGGCCTCCATTTCTGATCCTGAAGCCGGCCTCTTCTGCTCCTCTTTCACCAGCAGGAAGGCTGAGCTCAGGTCTACACTAGAAGGGAACGTCAAATGAAGATACACGGCTCCAGCTGGAGTCGATGTACCTGGTTTCAAGTTTTCCCGCCGTCCCTACTGCGGGAGGCACTCCCATCTGTTTCCCTTACTCCTCGCATAAGCGGGAATATCAGCCACCAGTGGGAGCACCCTGAGTTCGATTTAGCAGGTCTTAACTAGACTTGCTAAATCAAATTCCAGAAGACTGATTGCAGCTGCGTGGATCTTCCGTTAGTGAAGATGTGGCCTGAAGGCACTGACAGCACATGTGGCTGCTGTGACCAGCTTCTACCTGCCACATGGGCATTCTATGCTTCACTGGACTGCCACAGCCAGAAGCCTGTTGACCCGCAGCAGTGACAGAAACACTGCAGAACTTGGTGCTAAGAGACAGGCCTGCGCCTAGAGTTAGCCCTGGCTGCTGGGAATGCGGATTGTCTCAGTGACTCCAAGCAAACCGTTGCAGCATATCAAGAACCTTGAATGGTGCGAGTAGTGTGCTGCGCATGAATCAAGTCAGCAGGGAAAGGAAGAGAGGATGAATTACCCAGCTGGTTTCAAATGGAACCGCTGTAGGCTGGTGCAGGGATGGAGCTATGTCTGTGAGTGGCAAAGCACTGCTAAATTGGGGGCCGCTACACAGTGAACCCCACTGCATCCGGATAAGCAAGAGAAACATTTCCCCAATACAGCCCCATACCTCCTCTCCCTACCCCCCAAGAGAAAATAATGAAGAAATCCATTAACCATGTCAAATACTTGATAGGATCATAGAGATGGGGGGCTGGGAGGGACCTTTAGAGGTCACCTAGTCCCCTGTGCTGAGGCAGGACCACGTATGGCTAAAACCAGGGGTTCTCAAACAATAAAAAAATTACTGTGAGATCACAAGTGGGAGGGACCAAACCCGGAATCCCCCTGGTCTGGGTGGGATGGCCAGAGCCTGGTACAGGGCCTGTAATCTGAGCCCTGGTACCCAGGGCTGAAGTCCTCAGGCCCCATCCCCAGACCTCAACAAGTCTAACCCCAGCCTGGTGAGCCCATTAAAACGGGGTCGTGACCCACAGTTTGAGAATCCCTGAACTAGACCATTCCTGACAGCAAGTCTATTTCAGGAAGGCTTTCCTTGGGGGGCCCATGCAAATCATTAACTCCTGGGCACCAGGAGCAAGATTCTCCTGACCAAGTCAATTGCCAGCAACGGATGTGCTGGAAAGCACCAACGTGAAAGGATAAGTGGACCTGCCCGCGTCAGTGCCGATTATTAATTTACCATGGCTTAATTAAAACCTGTTCTTTAAAACCTCCAGGGCCAGCGATTCCACACCCTCCCTGGCAACCCTGTAACAGAGCTTAACTCCCCATAGGGTTAGTGTTTTTTTTTTTTTTTCTTAATATCGAACCTCAGCTTCCAGTGCTGCAGGTTACTTGTCCTACCTACGGTGGACGCAAAACAACTGATCTCCGTCCTCCTTACAAACACACCTTAACACAGTGAGGCACCACCCGCAGGCTGCTCATCAGGGTTCTGAGAGTGGCCTGTGACACATTTTGTTTACTGTTGCCCACACACAGGGCTGCCAGATTTCGCTGGTTTCCGTCTGCATAATTTTTTCCTACCGTATTACTAACGTGACACGCACATAAAGCCAGGGCACGGGAAGCGAGGTGGGGGCGGGCTGCACACAGCACTGACTGTCAGAGCCGTGCGCTCCCTCTGCAGCCAATCACAGCGCTGCTACGGTTCAGTCCGCACCCCCGCAAATTCTGGGTACACAAGCGCAGTGGCTTAGGACAGTCTTGAGGCCACTCATGCAGCCCACTTACTAGCCTCAGTTGCCAACTGCTGCCTTAACATTTTTGAAGACTAGAAACGTCACCCCACTTTGACAACAAACCATTGAGAACTACTCTGACTACAGTCTTTCAGCCAGATGTGCACCTTACAGTAATTTAACCTGTAATATACAGAACAATAGAAACAAGTCATTGTCTGCCTGAAATTTTAGTTCAGGGAGATCTCAGATGTGTGTGGTCATGCCTGAGCCGCAAAGACACACCGGGTGCGGGAGAAACAACCACTGCTAAGATACCAGCAATGCAGGTGGGTATCTTTGCTGGCAACACCCCCTGCTATGGAATGAAAATAAAGGCCAGTGCATGGTGCTGTTAGCCCTCCGGTTTGCCCACCAGGGAGGAGCACTCACCGGGGTGCTCCCCGTCTTCCCAGTGAGGATGCCTCTTGCCTTCTTTTTGGTCATGTTGAAGGTTTTCAGGTAGGCGTCGTGGATGTGCTTGGAGAAGGCTTTCAGGTCGGCCACTTGTGGGTTGTGACAGCTGTCCTCACTCGCTGTCAGGCCTGCCACAAGCTTCCTCTTCTCCGCTTCTGGCATGCGGCCAAAACGAATTGCTGTCACATAACAAAGCGGGCATGATCAAGGAGTCCTGGGAGAAACCTCAGGGGGCCTGCGATGCTCCTGAGAGGACACACATATCTGCCCTGCCATCAATGACACCTGCTTCTGACAGTGAGCACTTTGCATGTCTGGGACCCCAGCTCCCCTGGGAAGCCCGGGTTGAAAGCCTTCCATGTGACAGAATTAACAAGGCACCATGGCGTAGAGCTGGGGAACTTCAAGCTAAGCGCTGCCCTGGGGCATCGGTGTTAGCTCACTGTAACCTCCCGCTCCAATGACGACTCAGGTTCGATCTACAGCGCGGGCTCTGCACTGTCGTGCTTTGGGCTCTCTAGGGACCTGCTCCCTGGACAAGCCCGGCTCTTAATTCAGGACGAGGTTGTTCGGCTTGAAACTACTGTGTTTGGGATGAAAGCGCCAGAGTTGTCTGCGCTGCTGCTTCTTGCTGGGTCAGCTCTACGCACAGGCAGGAATGGAAACCATCTGTTCCTACGCACGCGACACGGTCCAGGAACAGACAGCACTAAGAGGCAGCTGCTTGACTCCGTGACCAATACTGCACGGGATCAGCACTCGAACCACGATCTAGCCTCCTGGGGAGGTGGGAGACCAAGGGGCAAGTTGGGGGCCAGGCCCTGGGTTTGGAACAAACCAGACTCCCAGAGCTACTGGCCTGACTCTAGCCCTAGGACTAAACGAGTCGCATACCGTGTACGGTGTGGCTCCTCTCTGGCTCTGAGCCACACCCAGGCCTCCCTTTGGGCCTCTCCAGAGATGCAGAGAGAATGTTTACAGAACGTTCCTGCCTCCTCCGATATGGCGTGCATGCTTGGATGTGGCTGGGGCAACCTGGAGACTGCTCAGACTTGCCATGGGCCTGACCTGCTCTCCAGCCCCTCAGGAGCAGGACAGAAACATGGCAGAATACACCCTCCCTCCCTCCCACGCCCCATTTAGCACCTGCCACACCGCTGAGGAAAACAAGATACTAGGGGTTGTTCTGGTTCTGACCCAGGGAGCTTAGGAGACCAGAAGATTTGCTCTGGTGGGTTTTTTCAAGCCTCCCCACTCTTGTGCAGCATTCTGTGCACCCAGCTGCTGCTCCGCCCGATGGCTGCACTGCGCATGCACAGCTGGGAGGGGAAAGGTAAAATCTCCCCTGTTTGCTGTATTGCTCTGGCTGCCCGTGTACTGGGGTGTCACCTGAAGGCACCACGGCAGCTGCATGGCTTCCTTCAGGAATGAGACTCCCCTGCTTACTCCACACTGCAGAGCAGGGTTTCCTGGCTGAGGTCTGTCCAGGCAGGACAGCTTCCGAGAGCACAGGCCTCTGTTTGCACAAGGGAGGGGTGATTCTGAGAGCTCAGCTTGAGACATTTAAAAAGGCACCAACTCTCCTAAGTGCCAGGCAACTGGCCTCCTGACACCTGGCCCCTCTCATCCTTTCTGATAATGCTGGGAACTGTGTGCACAATTGCCAGGCCTTCCCTGTCCAGCTCCCCCAGGGGTCTTCCACGGCCTCACCATTGTGCGACATGCCAAGCGAGAGGCATTTCTGGAAGCGGCAGTACTGGCACTTGTTCCGGTTCTTCCTCTGGATTTTGCAGTTCCGGTCACACTTCTCGTACTCCAGCTTCATGCGGATCGTCCGTCGGAAGAAGCCCTGTGGGGAGGGGGACAGAGGGAGCGAGAGCAGTATTACTAACAGCGCTTTGAACAGCATCAGCGGATGCCTGCAGGGCTCCGGGCTGCTCTGACCCTCGTAAGGTTCACTCCGGGTGGAGAGCAGGTACTGGCAGCACAGAGAGGCTGCCAAACAGAGACCACTTCCCACGCGGTCACCATGGAATAAACAGAACCCCCCTCGCAAGGGGACCGTGCAGAAGGGATTGCCAACGGCAGCCTTTTTGGTACACCAGTCAAAGCTCGGCTGTAACAACGCCGCCTGTGGCCAGCAAGGAGGGAGAACAAACTGGTTCCCCTCTCTCAACACCCTGTCCTCTCCAGCAGCTCCTAGCACTGAGGAACGTTTGGCTACAGCAGCACCTCCGCATCTGCTGTGGAGGAAGGCGTTCGACAGCCAGGGCCAGGCAACGGGTGCATGCCCACGGGGGTAAGAGCACGTGCCCACTGCTGGCTGGGGGCTGGGATCTCACAAAGAGCCTCTTTAAAAGCAAGCCCAATAGTACTGGGGATTTGCTGCGTGAAGCACGAGGCTGTTGCGACGCTGGGGAAGGCACTTGCCTTGCAGAGCTCAACTCCTGCCCAGTATAGGACCACCAGGCAGCTGCTGCCTCCCCCAAGAGGAGCCTGTGTCCTATCTGCTACTGCCCGTCCTCCCTCTCCCTCAGTAGAGGTCACTGGATGAGTTTCACGATCCACTAACACCACAGCCCTAAGAGGCTGCAGAGTCAAGTGCAAGATCAGAAGTCCAGGTACTAAGACGTCATCCGCCTAGGTAACACAGAAAGGCCCAGAGCCTGCCCTGTTGCCTTTGCAGCGGGCAGCATCTCTTGCCTGCGCTCCATACCTTGCAGCCCTCACACGCGTGCACGCCGTAATGAAATCCCGATGCTATGTCCCCGCAGACCCTGCATTCCACATTCAGACTTGCCGAGGACGTCTCCTCGCCGCCCATCTGGAGCTGGTCCGACAGGGATGGAGAAGAGCTCTGGGAGAGGTCTGGAAGGGGGCAAAGAGAACAGAGGGAAGCATTTCTAGGCTGGGGCAGCAGACACACGAGCACTGCACAGTCCGACAGACGAGCGAGCGAACAAAGACGCTCTCGCGCACAGGAGCCCAGGACAGTTCTCAGGTCCGGTTACCGGCTTCTGCACGCTGCGGGCGGGAAATGATGGTTTTCCTAGTGTAACAGCGTCAGTCATTTATGTTGTTTTCTTCCTTTTGGATTCAGGCTGGACAGTGAAACCGAACAGAAACTCCACAATCCAGTCCTCAGGCACTAGCCTCTTGTGCTTGGCTCCTCAGCAACAACAAAATGCTCGCTTCACAGCTGGCTTTCCCTCCGCCCAGCCCAATCTAAGTTTTGGGCCTAGAATTACTTGGGTCCCTTTAATTTTCCTCCTCTGATTCTCAGCCAGTGGCTGGGCAGAGCTAGTCATCTTTTCAGGAAAATGATTAAGCCTTTCAGAAGCTTGGCTGCCAATGAATTGGTTTAGAAAAAAAAGATTAAAAGAAGCCACGCTCCATTCACACGCAAGCCCCTCTGCCGCTAGGCGCAGAGCAGTGCCTGGAACATCTGGCAGGAGCCAACAGCTAGAGGCTCAGAGAGGCAAGCTGTCTGCAGCACTTCACTCACACCACCGGCCACGAGGCACTGACTCGAGACCGGCTGGGGCACGGGGAGATTCCTTTCACATGAAGCTGCACATGCTAGTCCTGGGTATACAGACATCTGGTTGTTTTCTGCACTTTGCTCGCACACTCTCGGCTGAGAGCCTGGAGTTGCAGGGCGGCACCCCTGCCCACCTGCCTGCTGCAAGGTTTGTTTCTTTAGAAGGGCTTTTTCCATAGGAAAAATGGTTTCCTCCCGGTGAAGCCTGCACCCATGGTTCACCAGATACACCTGCTTGTTGCCCCGCTGCACCCCTCCCACTTACCTGTATAGCTGCCAGAAGGAGGCAAACGGTCTGGTCCTCCGCTTGGGTCTGAGGATTCACCTGCTTCTATCACTGCCTCTTCCTTTTCCTCCTCCTCCTTGATGGCAGGTATTTCCTTCGGTGGCTGTTCCATAACTGATCACCCCTCAGTGCCGAGACTGCAGCCCCTGTCATAGCTCTGGCATCATCCGCGTCTGTCCGGAGATGGGCCCCTCCCAGGCTGTTCCTGCTAGCCTGTGGGACAGATGGGGAGACAGCAGAGGTCAGCAGCAGCAGAACAGCCTTTGTGTTGAGCTCCTATCACCCAGTTCTGCTAGTCCCACTCTGCTTCCCCGTCTGTGCAGAGAAAAGAAGCAGGCAGAGGCCGTTGGCAGATTATTAGTGTGAGCAAGACACCTACTTGCTCCTCAGAAAGATGCTTCTCTTGCCAGATCCTGACTTTTACCAGCTTCCCGTATAAACGGTCCATTTGCATGTCGTTCATTCAGAAACTGTGGTCAAATCCACAAAGACTGCTAGTTCAGTCCCCATCTGAAGCCCAGCAGACATCGGGCTGGCCTGCGGTCTGGACCCATGAGGTAACACACTGCACCGGAGCCCAAGATACTGGCCCCAGCCCTCCACACACAGGCCTGCAGGTACTAGGAATGCTATGGAGATGCCTAGTCCCACTGTAATTCGGGGTAGAGGGAGCTACCGCTATTAGCAGCTCAGGAGCGGTCATGGACCTTCATCAGCTGGAAAAAATGATTAACATGACGAGTGAATGAAGGGGAAGCACACCAGCACTCTTCTGCCTATCACCATCTTGGTCGGTCTGTACGTCTGCCCAAATCGGGCACCGGAGCAGGCCCCAGAAATCCCTGCTTCTGCAGAACCCTGTGCAAAGCTGCAGGGCAGAAGTTGGACACATCATGCCGATGGGTCCTTCCAGAACAGGGCTGCTGGAGCCAAGGCCTGAACCAGCAGCCAGGATGGAAGAATTCCACCAGAGCTACAGCTAGCTACTTTACATTGCCAGGCAGGCACAGCCCCAGCTGAGCCAGGGAGAACAGGAAGGCGTACAAGAGCCAGTCCTACTCTGGGTTGTAGAGCACATTTCTCCCAAGGCTCTCACAACACTTCACAAGGGAGTCCCCATTTAACAGAACGTGAAACTGAGGCACGGAGCAGCAGGGCTGGGAATCCAGTCCATTGACCCACAAGGTCTGTCTGAGCATTAGGCCTGATCTCTCCCCACCCACCAGCTGGCAGCTGCAATGAGGTTATTAGGAGAGTAGCGCCATACGACAGGCGCTGCAAGACAGGTTGGATGCAATGGTACTGAACGCCACCGTCTCTGCTGGTAACTTACTGGGGCAGCAGCCTCCCATGTGCCTTTGGGATCATGCTGGTTCCAGTCTCCCTGCATGAAATTACAACGTTGCAATTGCTGCATGTTTCTTTTTACTCCTCTGTGTTGTAACTGGCCCCAGTGTGCTGCCAGAAATCAGGCATTTCAATATTGTTCTATTGCTCCACACAGGCACTGAGCCACACTCTACCACAAATTCCTCTGCACAGTCCAGCGAGTGCCTTTGGGAGGGTTAGCAAACTGCCTCCTTGCTTCCCCGTGCCCACCCTTCCCTCTGCTAGCCCCATCTCCACCCTCCCCCTCCCCAAAGACACCTTGGGGCAAGAGCGACGATCAAGTTAGCCACACTCAACAGCTGATGAAAAATCTCCCCACCAAACGTATACGAAGTGTAAGTTGCACATCATCTGCACAGGGACGCCTTGATGTCCAGGGTCCCTTCCCCCGCCAACCCAATCGCTCCGGTTTGGGCCCTTCGCCCTTGTGACTAGGCAGGTTCTCACTACGAGGCAAACAGCATTCCCCATCGCTCGTCAAGTTCTAGATCTCAGAATCAAAACACACTCGAGCCCCGACGGTTTGGACATAGGCGCCGTATCCCAAGCGCAGCCCCTCTCCGGCGAACTTCCGCATTAACAGGGGACATCTACACTGCCAGCCTGGATCAAATGACTTGGGCTGCAGGCTCCGAGACCCAGCGAGGGACAAGAGCGCAGGCTGTCGCCGTAACACCCACACTGCAGCATTCAGGCCTGCAAAGCCCCGTGTCAGTGACAGGTTTCTTCTCGCAGTACAGGTGCGCCCGCACAGGCCTGGCCTACACCCCGCTTCAGCTAAGGGGCCATTTTCAAACAGACGTGTGACACCGGCGCAGACTCTCCCTAGCAAAATGGAAACCGTGTGTCAAGTTGGGTTGCGTGGGTCACTTCGCCTGTATACGTCAAACCAACAGAACCATTTCTAGGGGGCATGGCCTCATGTGAGCGACACTGGAATTAAACCAATGCCACTCCGGTGTGTGGACCAGCCGGCAGAGCAGGCTGCCATGCGCTGGCAGTGAGGGGCCTGCGGGAAGGGAGCTGGCGGATCTCAGCCCAGGTCGGAGGCGAGAGGTGGCCATGCCCAAGGGCACAGCACTCTGACTGCCGCTATTCGGCCACCCCTGCCAGGAGCCATGGCAGGGAAGCCTGATGCTGCTCAGACTATTGTTACCTTGGACGTGTTATTCATTTGGAGTGAGGAAACCACCCAATCTTCCCTCACCCCGGTTAGCTCATTGCATCCCGTGCTCCTGGGAGAGGTGCATATGTGCCATGCACCCCGCTGAGGAATGCAGCACAGAGCAGAGAGAAGTCGGAGTTTCCTCCCCACTTTGGTCCTGCCGCTAGGGCAGGGGTGGGCAATAAGCTGGCCGGGGCTTGCCGGCACTTTAGTTACCTGCACAGGCTCCCGCTGGCCGCAGATTGCCGTTCCCAGCCAACAGGCGCTGCGGGGAGTGGTGTGTTTGGGCTGCGCCGGTTCCCGTGGCTCCCATTGGCCAGGAACGGCGATCTACAGCCAATAGGAGCTTCAAGCGGCGCTCCTGGGGGCAGTGCAGATCGAGTGCCAGCAGCCTCCCAGGGGCTAATCCAGGGGAACTGCATGTGGCCCACGCTAGGGAATGAGAACGAGAATTGCAGACAGCAGCTGAGCAGGCTCAGGGCTCTGGCACCCAAATAAATCAGACACATGACTTACGCCAAGGTCCCACTCATTAGTGGCTCTTTGTAGGAGCCCAGGAAAGTTTTCATTGGGGACCGTCCATGGAGGCTGCCATGAAAACTGGGCTTTCATCAACATGATTCCACAGCACGAGACGCCTTTAGTTCTTATTCGCAGGGAGGTCGTAGCCGGGGCAGGTCACAGCTCACATGCAAGATCTGAGAAAGAGGAAGCTGGAGATGGTGTTGCGTGAAAGATCACAAGTCACGCAAGAGGATGAAGGCAAAGGCAGATCAAGCTCCGTGCCAGAATCACGTAGAATAGTGGTGCGCAACCCGTGGGTCGTGACCTCCAAGGGGGTTGCGGACGTCTTCCTGGGGGGTTGCCATAGTGGTGGGCATAAGCCCCGGCCTCCGGGATCTAAGTGCCATGCCGCACTGCTCAAATTACCTTGGGGGTCTCGACACGAGTGCAATAAAATATGGTGGTTATGACTGAAAAAAGATTGCGTACCACCGACTTAGAAAGCCAGCACTCTGCCTACGAGTCCTAGGCAGGATTCCCTGATAGTCCCTCACTGAGCAGGGACTGATCTAACTGAGAAATTCCTGAAGGCAAGAGAGCTTTCGCTGCAAAGCCTGAACTCGCCCTCTGCCCAGGGAGTTCGCGCTATGCATGGATACATGTCAAGCATCTGGAGAAGTTCCATTCCTGGCAAGCACAATATCCCGTTTTCATTTACAGTGGAGGCACGCAGAGAAACAGAACGGTGCAGAGTGCTCCCTTTCAGAGCCTCCTCCGACACTGAGGGACCATTCACATGCAGTGTTATTGTTGGCACCCTCTCTCACACACACACGCCTGGTAGGATGTGGCACATGTGGAGGAAAAACCATTCGTTGTAGTTTGTGTGTAAGGATCTGAATCTTTTATTAATCTCTGTCTCTATAGCTATGGATACCTACCCCACATCTACCTACAAGTGAACGCAGAGCCTTCAGGAAAATCCCATTCGGCTGGTGGGGAGGGGCAGAACTGCAGGGAAGGTCTGGGTAGGAGTAGCAAACAGGCTGCAGTGGAACCCACACACAAACACGTGGCTACTCATAGGATGAACAATCTTTTGTCCCTGGGATCTGTCTAGGAAGGCAAGTGTAGAGGACTCATTTTAAACAGAACGTCCATTGACTTCACCATCCTCACAGTCCATTGCCATTGGAACAACACTGCCACACTCCTCTGGAAGAAAAGACAGGGCTATGCAGCACTTTAAAGACTAACAAGATGGTGATGAGCTTTTGTGGGGCAGACCCACTTCCTCAGATCAAATTGTGGAAGAAAATTGGCATGACCATATATACCAAAAAAAAAAAGTGAACTATTTTATGTGTGTTCACTTTTTTTTGTTTGTATCCCTTTGGTATATATGGTCATGCCAATTTTCTTCCACAATTTGATCTGAGGAAGTGGGTCTGCCCCACAAAAGCTCATCACCATCTTGTTAGTCTTTAAAGTGCTGCATAGTCCTGTCTTTTGTTTCAGCAAGACCAGACTAACACGGCTACATCTCTATTACTACACTCCTCCATGTGCGTTTTAGGCATGCAGCAATTCACACCTTTTGGCAGTCTGTAAAACAACACTGCACATCACGAATGGCTGGCTAATCCAGGTAGGCCTTGCCTGAGTCAGGGACAGCCTTGTCCTCAGCCATTGCTTTAAGTGGAGGTACAAGCAACACAGGCCGGAGCTAAAAGCCTGAAGGATTTTTTATTGTAATAGAAGGGGCTGGACTGACAACACCACCCTGGGAAACCTAGAGAGAAGGGCCTTACAAGCTTCAACCCACATTGCTCACCTACAGGACTTCACGTGTGGGAGTGACAGTCTTTCGGCTTGAGATGGGTCAGTCACTACAGCCGATTCCAATCTTGATTTTTCTGCTGCCAATTGCAGTGGGTGCTTTTGAATAGGGTCCCAGTTCCTGAGACCCATCGAATTGTTTTCGTAAGGGCCGCTGATGAGCGGAGAACAATTTGTGGTCATTATCAGCCTGAGCTGCATCTGTACAGCCAGCCTAGAGGTGACACAGATGGAGAAGTTGTAAGTTACTCCCAGAAATGTGCTCAGTGCTCTAAAACAATGGTGGGCAACCTGCAGCCCATCAGACATTTTGTTTGCTGTTGCCAAATTCCGCTGGTTTCCAGCCACGTAGGTTCTCTCCTACTGGTGTTACTAAAGTGATGTGCACATAAAGCCAGGGCACATGAAGTGGGGGGTATGCTGGTTGCACACAGCACTGACTGAGAACTGTGTGCTCCCTCTGCATCCAATCACAGCGCTGCAACAGTTCAATCAGAACCCCCTGCAAATTGCTGCCTGCGCTTGTGTACCTAGAAAACTTGGTTATGACAATCTTGCAGCCCACTGAGATAAAGGAGGGTCACTCTAGCAGCCCACTCACTAGCCTAGCATGACCGGGTCCTTGGCAACTGGGAAGCCTAGTGGTTAGGTTTCTGAGTGAGCAGGTGAAGGGGGGAGGGGAGCGCTGCCTCCCTGTTCCCAGGGCTCCAAACCACTCCCTATTCAAGTCCTTCTGTTTGGGGTGTAGGCCCAAGAATCCAGATTCCACTTAGTTGGGGCTAATCAATAGGTTCCCTCTTGTCCCAGAGGGGCAGGATGGGGGCTTACTTGCTCCCCAGGCTGCTGAGCAGCCAGGCTCTGGCTCATGATGAACCAGGCTCCTGCCTCCCCCTAGTCAGCTCCATACTGAGCCAGGCACTGGCTGCAGGTAAAGCGGGGTGGAGCTAGCTGGGCCCAGAGGGTTTTAACCCTGGGACGCCACGCCCTCACACAGAGTGTGCCCACCGCTGCTCTAAGACAGTGTTTCTCAAAGCGGGCTGCGGGCCCACTCTGAGAAAGCTGCTAATGGGCTGCTCTGGTCCGTTTACTTACCCGCTCTTCAGCTACGGACCCTCGCAGCTCCCTTAGGTGGTTCGCCATTTGCAGCCAAGGGGAGGTGTGGGGAGCAGCGACCCAGGCCACACTGCTTCCCGCTGCGAACGGCGAACCACAGCTAAGGGGAGCCATGAGGCTCTGTAGCTGCACAAACTAGAGCAGCCAATTAGCAGCTCTCTCAGGCTACGTCTACACTGCAGGTTTTTTTGCAGAAGAGGAAATGCAGCAAATGGAACACTCATTTGCATATCTTGCGCTCTCATTTGCATATCCTCTTCCAATCCTTTTTGCAGAAGAGGTTTTTGTGATAAAGAGCCGTGTAGACAGGGCCATTTGACGGAAAAAAAACCCTTTTGTGCAAGATCCCTTATTCCTCAAAAAATGAGGTTTACAGGCTCTTGCGCAAAAGGGTTCCCCCCCCCCCGACAAATGGCCCCATCTATGCAGGGCTTTTTAAATCACAAAAACCTCTTCTGCAAAAAAGGATCGGAAAAAGAAATGCCAATGTGCGCTCCATTTGCATTTCCTCTTCTGCAAAAAACCCGCAGTGTAGACGTAGCCTCAGAGCGGGCCTGCAGCCCACTGTGAGAAACACCGCTCCAAGACAACCTGATTTCTAGGTTCCAATGACCTGCTGGGTGAGCCCGGGAGGTCACTGCCCTTCTCTTTGCCTCATGTTCCCAATCTGTAAAATGGGGACCACATTCCTGACTCTGCCCCCAAGGAGTGCAGTGATATCCACAGAGAAAAGAGAATGCCTACGAGTACCATGCAATAGCAGTATGGTATTATTACAGCCCATCAGCACAAGCCTGGAACAAACCTCCTCAGTGGAAATCCCACAGAATGATTAATACTCCTCATTTTCTTGTCATTTCCCTGCATTCCAAACAGTTCTCAAACAAGACAAAAATAGGGACTCACTTCTTACTGGAAAGAGTCGTCACTTAAGCATCTGAGCAGTTTCACGGGATGAAAGTAAAGCCCAAGACCCTCCAAAGGGCAGCTCATGTGGTAAGCTGGAAAGCAGCGGTCAGAGAACAATCAGTATAAAGCGAAGGAAGTGGATGGGAACACAAGCTGTGAAATGTTTTGAATTAGCAGCGTGCTGAGCACAACATAGAAAACCAGTCTCCTCCGTGGCCGTATGGTTAGTGGGGGGTTTGCCTCTCAAGGCTGCTAGCTGGGAGGGACAACACTATCTGCAGCCTGCTCCGTGGCCTCTTATGGAATGGGCTGGGGAGGCTCAGGCTAGTGAAAGCGAAGCTGGGAGGACTCCTGGGACCCAGGCTTAGTTCCTTGCTGACTCCAGCTGGAGCCTGACTTCCCTGTTGTGGGGTCCCAGGGCTCAGGGCTCCAACCCAAATGTTTACACTGCAATTTTATAGCCCTGCAACTAGGGAGGTAACATCCTGATGAGGCCCCATGGGGCTGAAGCAGCCCCCTTTGGTTAACCTTAACAGGTGAGGCTTACCCGTTAACCAGTTAACCATTAGGTTTAGCTGCAAGGTTTGAAGTGCCATGCCCAAAATGCCAAAGTCTGCTTTAGTTATCCACAAAAGTAGCGGGCTTCCTGAATTCGCTCAGCACTGGAATCTTCCACTGCACATCCCAAGTCAATCTGCAGCCTTAATACCCAGCAAGCTGATGACAACAATATTCTCCATTGCCAAAAATGCTGCATGGAGACGGTCCTAAGGCAGTAGGACTGTCCTAACACAGATCTCTTCAAAGCACAAAGGATGAAGTTTGCTGATACGACTGTTGGTTAGGATTACAAAGATTTTCGAGCAAATCCAAAATAACTCCCCCACATCTTCCAGTGGGAGTTACCTACAGATTTCTCTAAGATGACAATTGGGGTTCAGGCTTTGAGGAAGTTTTGCCTGGCTCAGCTCAACACAGACGCTGGTCCTTTCCCACTCCCTTGCATGCACAGGGGAGATACAGCCCATACCAATGGCTGCATTTCTGCACCACTTTTTATTGTGCTTCTCGTTAACTGGTGAAGCTGTAACAGCCCTGTCATCCCCTGACCAGATCCCTCGGGTTTGTCACATGGAAGGTGAAGAATAATTAAAGCCAGGTAGAAAGTTACATACGATGGACACCCAGTCACTCTAGTGTCTGTCTAGCTTCTGAGCATGCAGAGCACCATCAGAAAGAACATGGGGTGGGAGTGATGAAAGGAGCCCTGACAGGCTCCCATTGCAGTGTTACAAATGACAGACGTGGGGGAAAAAATCTAGGCCTGAACGGTGGGTCTGGCATGGAGAGGGGGGAGGGGCACACATCCCCACTATCAGAACAAATCCATTTCACATTAACAGCCATGCCAGGACACCCAGTACTAAAACGGGGGGCAGCGTTAGAAGGCCACCCAGTAGTTTTGAACTCGACTCCTGATCTTCCCTAAGCCTCTCTGGTGAATCAGACTCTCAAAGTTGTTTCTCAGTCTATGGGATGAGATGGGGTTGCAAAAGGAATTAAAAGGGAGTAAAACAGCAAGGGGCAGAAAGTCACATGATCCATGATTTGCCACACCTCCCTCCCATTCAAAGATGCTCCCGTCGCAGTAGTTAAAGCAGCAGGTGGATCATTGAAAACCACCTCCCCACGCCCACCCCTGCTTCTGCCGCAGCCTCTGAAGTAGCCGCTATAGACGCACCTTCTATTTGTACAAGGCTGCAGGCCCAAGCGTCTCTCCTCTGCTCCTGCAGCTCTCAACTTAGCTGCACCAGCATACGCAACCTAACTCAGCCTTGGACCTCCACGCTGCCCCAAAATGTACAGAGCAAGGAGAGGGAGGCACAAGATAAGGGGTAAATCAGAGGGGAAATTGAGGAAAGACACCAACATAGGAACAGCGAACAGAACCAGCTAGCAGAAGAGTAAATGTGCAGAAAGAAGCCTGAACCAGCTGTGGCCAGGGCACGGAATAGGCACCTACTCACAGCCTTCCACCCCTCCAAGGGGACTCTCCCAGGGAGACACTTGGAAATGCCACCAAAGAGCAGTAAGCTGTTCAGAAAGGTTGGAGTGGCTCCAGCCGAGGAAGCAATGCCCAGCACCTAGGATGAAATCCAGACCACGCTCAAGAGAATGGCAAGACTGCCACTGACGCCACACAGGACCAGGCTCTCACCCTGGCAATTAGTAACTGCAGCTCACAAACATGGTCTTAAGGCAGGTCCCAGTTCATTAGCATACACGTCTTGTGGCTAGGTTCGCAGTAGCTGGAAGTTCAATGAGGAAGTGCCCTTTTCACTGTGTCCTAGTGTGGGAGGAAGAATGGAGTGATGGCCCAGTTTCTCTCCAACATCAAACCAATGCATCAGCTGCAAGTCATCAT